AAATCTATCCCTTAAGAAAAAAAGCTAAAGTAAATGAAGTAACTATGAAGCATCCAAGATGGTTTTATGTACATACAATATATCATAATCTGAACTACTGTAGAAACAATATAAGGCTGTCTATGAGAAAAAATACATATATAATAAGATGGCATAAATTAAGATTTTCTTAAGAAAAAAAGAATAAATAGAGCAGAGACATAAACTGGAGCCAGGAATGAAGTTAATGAGGCATAGAGCACATTTGTTATGGGTGGGCCACAAATTTAGCTCTAAGCTTTTTTGGCAGCAAACCAGAGAGAGTTAAGTTAAACATTCACAATGTTCATAAGGTAAAAGCAAAGGAACTGCTCAGGAGAGGTAAAAGAAGTCTTTGTATTAAAGTCAGATAGTTTTTTCTCAAGAAATTTTAATAAAAGAAGACACAGTGTATCAATGAATAGTCTCACAATACCCTTATGATAGATGCAACGGTTTGATAGGATTATTTTCTATAATGATCCTTAATATCTAGCCTGATGGCGAATGGGAAAACAGCAATCTGGTAAAAGCAAGTTGGTGAAAGCTAAGTAATCAGCTTCTTGATCTGACTTCATCTAAGAGTATATTAACATAAAGGGGAATAACTGCATGAGTGTCAAGCAAGGCTCCCTGGATACAGCATCTCTCCCCCATACCTTCAACGTATGCTGCAAAATGGTGAGTGTCAGATTGCCCAGTTTGGCAAATATCTGGAGACCTGCTCTCTATGCTGCCTGCTGAAATCATATTCACACCTTAACAGTCAACTCAGCTAGGAATAGGGGAGAAGAGTGCCTAAATAGACAGTCATCTCTACCTTGGAGGGAGTGTCCAGAGGCAGGGCTAAGATATTCTTCATGAATAGTTTATGTTTTATCTATTTGATTTTTAACATATCCAGCACACAGACAAAGCATTAATCAAAGCCCTAATTATATTCCATACAGCACGACTGCAACAGTTTAACTCTAAAATTCTAATGGAAATAGAACTAAACTAGCCTTTGGTCAAACCACCCTTGGCTAAGAAAAAGAACTCTAAACTTCATATTTGAAGATTTGAATTTTAGACTCAGTTCTGTTACTCATTCGCTGTGTGATCATAAATAAATTATTAATGCTTAATTTCTTTAAGTCTCAATCCCTCTTATGTAAAGTGAGAATATTAATATATGATCTTTATATATGTCAATATAAAACAAACATGTACTAAGATTTTTAAAAATACAACATAAAGTATTTCTAGATACCTGTTATGCCATCAGGAAATTTATATCCCAATAACTGATGACTATAATGTATTTTACTTAATAAATGTTTGAGTGTTTCCTGTATTCTAGGGGCTGGAAATACAGAATGAGAATGAAACAGTCACAGTTCCTACCCTTTCTTAGCTTAAGCCTCTTCTGTTACAGTGGACATATACTGCATATACAATTCGTTTAGTTAATGAACACCTACTGAGGACCCAATGTTAGGTGCTGTGAGAGATACAAAGGTGTATAAGGTGGCTTACAGTCAATGAGGTAAGAAACCTATTCAGAAAAGGGAACAATCACTCCCAGCTAGGAGGGTGAAAAGGAAGAAGGACTCAGATCAGGAAAGGCTTCAAGGAGAAAGTGGCATAAAAGGTAGCTCTTGAAGGGCAGGCAGAGCTGGATGCATGGAGGGCATTAAGAATACACAGAGGCACGAATACTGTTAAGTGTGGAGAGAATCGTCCAGTGTGGCTGGAATTAAGTGGGAGTAGTAGGGGTGTAGGTGAGGGTTAGAAGAATAAGATCATTAGAAGCTAAGTGGTAACAGAATGAATTCCAGGTGAAGGAGTTTGAAATTTATACTGGAGGAAATGGCTAGGTGAAGGCTTAGATTAATAATTCAATCATAATATATAGAATTAATTGGTAGGGAGAGAAACCGAAGGTAGAGATCAATTAGATTTTCATTCAAAGTAAAGGCAGGAGGTAATGACCTAAGCCAGGGGAAACGGTAGTAGGAATGGAGAAAGGAGGAATAGATATTGCAGATAGAGAGTAAGACTCAGTAAGTTATCAGAGAAGGGTGGATAGAAGAATTCTGAAATGGTTTGGGGGTTTCAGTGGGGTGAATGGGAGGATGATGATAACATTATTAACAAGGTGGGATAAAAGAAGATGGAAAGGGACCTAGCAAAAGAACTAAGAGCCATCTATAACCATCATAGGACTATTTCCTTTCTATATGGTGAGCACTGTGACTGGCGTATCTGAGGTTCAATAAAAGTGTACCAGACGAATGAAACATTTTACAAAGGGAGTCATAAAATATGGATTTGAGAAAAAAGGAGAAATGAGATCTTGAGATTTTTGTTATCTTCTGTAACATTTCTATTCTTACTTTAGTTTTGTGCTTTGTCTGTTTTCCTCTGTTGCTGATCTGTGTACTTGG